TTTTATTTTTACCATTTTTAATAATCTGTGTACCATGTGGTAGTGTTTTGAATGCAATAGCATCCATAAAACTCATCGGTGGTTTTGCCCAAACATTAACATTATGCCAGGTAACTGATGCCGGTATAAATGTTGATGATAATGATGGTGTTGATGATCCCGATGATGATGATCCCGATGACGATGATCCCGATGACGATGATGATGATGTTGAATGAGATTTGTTCAATGGTATATGACCATTTTCATCGGAAAAATTATTCGACATTTTTTGACAAACCAAAGAAAAACAACAAATCAAAAAATCAAAAAACGAAAAAATTATTCAATTCAGAAGCGAACAAAATGATTTTCTGGCCACAATGTGTGTGTGTTTGACACATCGAATAGAATATTATTTTAAAACACGAAACATATGCCACATCATCTTTGGCAAAAGAAAAAAAAATCAAAGATTCGAATTTTTGATTTGAAAAAAATTCGAATCTTTGAAAAAACAAATTGAAACAACAGGATTTGTTCAACAGCACAGCCAAAAATCAACAAAAATGATTAGTGTAAAATTGTAGTGTTAGAGCGGTTAAAAAAAAAATTTATTGATTCATTTGAAGTATTTTTTTAAAAAATTTATACTAAATAATAGTAATAGATTTCATATTGTGCATTATGAAAATAATATATTTCATAATAAGCCAGGTAGTTATAATAGATTCCGTAATAAGCCGGGTAAAAATGAAATGAAAATTTTCTGCCAAACAACAATCGCTCAAATCGTCTTCATTATCAACTGGAATGCAAAGAATAGATAAAGAAGATGATCCAACAAATCATAGGATAACAATATCAACATTGTAATTTCATTCTTGATGTTGATATGATCAGCATCGAATCATTTTCTTTATTATAGACATCAATTCCACGAGATTTCAATTCAAGAGGAGAACAAAATAACAATTCTTCTTCAAAATTATCTTCACCTTTGTAGCGAACATATACTATTAGCTTGGAATTGCTGCTAAGATCAGTTGTCTTATCAAGCTGAATAGCGAAATATTGAGCCTGTTTTAATATCCATTGTTTTAGTTCGATTCATATTACCAGAATTAACAACGGTAATAGACGTTTCAGGATGAAAAATTTCTGCCAAACAACAATTATCAGCTAGAGTGTAAAACATTGGACAAGCTTCGTTATTCATTTTGCCGATTCAATATTGAGAAGCAAAAGGTAACACTATGATAATTTTGGATTATCATTATCGTCGTCTGATTCTTTTAATTCTTCAATATCATTATTATCATTGTTATTATACGATATATACGATATTTTTCATTTGCCTTTCTTAAATTTAAACTCGAAGGTTAAGCGCATAAACGCACCAATTCGAAGATAATCATCGAATTCCGGATCTCCATCAAGAAACACACGATCGATATAATGTTTTACACCTAAAGCAGTTAATACGTTCACTATAGCACTTTTCCATTCTGACAAGTTTGGACCATTATATAATCATCATGGTTCTTTTGGTATCATAGCGATTTCACATTTGAACGGATTTACTATCCAACTTACTGTACTTGAATCTAGATCCGGAAAATATCGATCAACCATAAATGTTTCGAGTTCAGCTTTAAGAATCCATACTCGATTTAGTACATTTCCGCGAGATAGCCATCTTACTTCTGTATAATAAAGTGATAAAACCATTATCTGAAATGAAGGTAGGAATAGAAGATGAAGTGGTAGACGAAAGATTTTCAGACATTTCAGTCTCATAATCTGTTAATTTCAAAACCAAAAAAAATTTTTTTTTTAGGTTCACCTATATAACGAATAGATAAAGAAGATGATCAACAAATCATAAGATAACAATATCAACATGTAATTTCATTCTAGATTTGATATGATCAGCAACCAATGGATGAGTGACTGGATCAGTTGACTTTCCAAAATAACACGAATCACAGAATCATGCCACATCATCTTTGGCAAAAGAAAAAGATTCGAATTTTTGGATAAAAAATTCGAATCTTTGAAAAAAAAACAAAAAAAAAACAAAAAATTAAAACAACAGGATTTGTGCAGCAGTACAACTATATCAACAAAAATGATTGTAGGTGAGTTAAAATATAGTGTTAAAGCAGTAAAAAAAATTTATTGATTTTTACATCATTGATGGATTTAAAAATAAATTCATATTAAATAATAATAATATACTTCATATTGTATATTATTATAAAAATAGTAAATTTCACATGAAGCAAGATAATAATAGTACACCGGTGTGAAGTATACCGGGTAATAATGATGTAAATTTTCCAAATCCAAACAGCAATTATCGACATTGTAAAACATTGTACCAGCTTGATTATTCATTTTGACGATTCAATATATGAA